CACTGGGCGTCGCCGGGGGTCGCGGTCCGGGCTGGGGAAGCGAGAGGCATGAGGCTGCGGGCCCGAGAACTCCCAAGGGAATTGGGGCGAATAAGGAGGAAGGGGAAATCCTTTCCAGGGAGGACTGGGCTAGAGAAAACGGTGCTGTGAGGGGAAGAGGAGCCGCCCAACCGAAAGCTCGGAGTGCGCCGCCTCCTCCCACGAGTGGAAACTTAAAACTCCCGCTGGTGCCAGAAAACTGACTGAGGGCGTTTCCATCGCCCCCAAGAAGGAATTCTTTCTCCCAAAGGGAATCGGGAAAACCGAGCGTGTTACTTGGCTGCCCAGCTTGAAAATCCTGGAATAGAAGAGGGAAACGCCTATCTTGGAGGAACTTACATGTGAAACAACGAACGTTTAAATTATTTTGGCTGCTTTTAGCCAACTAGAAAAACTTGCTTTTTCAGGGGCAATTTTTAAATTCCACCAAAACCTCGATGGATATGGCCCCAATGGAAAGTGCAAATTTTAATCCAAGCAAGGATATTAGATAATTTTTTGTTATAAACAACATTCTTTAGCAATTGGAAGGAGAACGTTAAGAAGAAAACGTTTAAGTGGAATTCCAAAGAGCAGCCAAACCCAAATTATCCTAGATTAGAGGAAATTAGGCATTTGATCATTAGTCTAACTCTAGGTCACTCTCTTTAGTTAGTGGCCTTAACTAGATGCAAAGCTCCTGACTTCTGGGTCCGTGTCCTGTCATCTACTCCATGCCCCCCGTCCTCAATACTTTGCTGGGATGGAAAAAAACAAAACTTTTTAAAGTATATAAATGTTAAGTGCACAAAGTCAAATTAGCCTGGTTTGCCCTGTGTTTGCAATGCTTTATATAGTTTACCTTTTATGGACAAACTTTAGATTCAAATAACAAAACCTCGAAAATGTACGTAACTTTTATAGAACAAATCATTCATATCCTTCGGGCCTTAGCACTTGCTTGCGCTGTGACATTCAGTAGCTTTTCCAGGAACTCCCTCCCCAGATAACTTTCACTAAGCTTCCTCTTCACTGAGTTTGCACCATTGCCCTTTGAGAGCTCTCTGAAGTATTAAAAAGCCCATGAGACTCACTGGTGAAAATTAAACGCAAATTCCTCAAGAATGGGAACCAGGTGTGTGCTTTGTAACCAAACAAGTTTTGTAGTTCTTGTTAGGTTCCTTCAGGTCGGTTCCGACTTATAGCGACCCTACGTACAACAGAACAAAACGCTGTCTGGTCCTGCGCCATCCTCACAATCGTTGTTATGCTTAAGCTCGTTGCAGCCACTGTGTCAATCCATCTTGTTGACCGTCTTCCTCTTTTTCGATGACCCTCTACCAAGCATGATGTCCTTCTCCAGGGACTGATCCCTCCTGATAAGATGTCCAAAGTATGTGAGATGTAGTCTCGCCATACTTGCTTCTAAGGCGCATTCTGGTTGTACTTCTTCCAAGACAGATTTGTTCGTTCTTAGAGACCACCAAAACATTACTCCCTGGCCTTCTCCCCTGGGTGCAAGAATTATCCAGATAATTGTTCAATCTTTCACATCACATTGCAAGCATAAACGATTACGTAAATTCCTACATAGTGCACTAATCAAGCAAAAGTATACAACACACTTTTGCAACTGAAAATGAAGGATTCACTGTTGTTTACCATGTGCTAGTCACTGGGGTGAAGTAATTTTACATGATTATCTCTTTTAATAATTATAACAACCCTATATTTGAGGTAAATGCTATTACTGGCCTGTTTTGTTTTGGTCTTTTTTTTAAACCAATGAGCCTCAAAGGGATTAAGTAATTTGCTCAATGCAACACAGCTAGGAAATGGTAGAGCTAGACAGCAGCAGAGCTCTGACCAAACCCAGTTATATTTGACTTAAAAGCTGACATTATTTTTATCCTATACTCTGCAACAGCAAACAAACCAGAAATCATAACATTTCAATTGGCTATCATATTAGTAAATATTTAGGTAAAAGATAAAAACTCGTGAGATAAAAAGAATACTCTCAGACATTGTGAGTGGGAATGTAAACTGAAACAACCTCTTCAGAAAGCAATTTGGCATTGTAATTCAAAAATTTGCTGAAACTACATTTTTAAGAAAAAATTCTGAAGATATTAAGTACTAGTTAGATTTTTTTTAGCACATAGCACATGATATGCATTGCAACACACACACACACACACACACACACACACACACACACACACATCCCAAAACCAGTCTATTACAATCTATTACTAAGACTTATATACTAAAACTTTGTTCTACTCTACCACTACATATTGGCTAATTCTGAATTCTGGAATCCCAATGATAATTACAAAGCGTTTGTCTCACTAGCATATATAAAAAGTCCTTCTGGAAGAAAATTCATTTTTGCAAGAATGCTTTAGAAATGGAAGTTTTCATTTGTTTGTTTTGTAACTAGAACAAACATAGAGTTCCAGGCTCCAGGCTAGTTTGCATTAGACTTAGTTTCTGCCCTCTAGGTTCACTAATGGGAAACACTGACTGCGGTGTGCAATATGAGCTATAATAAAGATAGACACGTACAGTCAAGGGAGACAGAGAAGAGGGCAATTACCTCTGCCTTGAGAAGAAAAAGCCACAGAGGAGGGGAGAGTAAACGGATGAGTAGATGTTCCCTAGGACGTGAAGTGGGGGAAAGGCAATCAGCTTTGGAGACGGAGTGACAAGATGAAGCTGATGTTTGGATATAAGGATGTTTATAATCAGAGGTTTCCAAAAGGTAAATAAGTTGAGATCCGTTTGGGAAGGGCAGACTTTGTCCTTCATCCTTTAGGAAATAGGAATCTATAGGCGGTATTAAGAAGAGGAATAAGGTAATCAGATTTATATTTTACAAAGTAACTGGCAACCATGTGAATTTCGTGGGAGAGATGTTCAGTGAAAGTAGCGGTGGATGGTGAGGTCACCAGGAACACATTAGATAGACAGTTTTGCTATAAAGACCCAGGCAAGAGACGATAAAGGCCTGAACTTGGGAGGTTGTGAGGATAAAGAAGAGGAAATAGAATCAAAAGGTGTTTTAAAAGATTTGGAGATAGACTTTGAGGACTAAGAGAAAAGAAGATGTGAAAATGATTTCAGGGTTCCAATGAGTACCATTAGGATAAATGGGGAGTGTACAAGGAGAACTGAGAGATCAAGATAATGAGACAGGTTAGGAGCATGCAGAATTTGAAGTGTCCCTAGGTGGCGTAAATGGTTAAGCACTTGACTACTGACCAAATGGTTGGCTGTTTGAACCCACCCAGAGGCACCTCAGGAGAAAGACCTGGTGATCTGCTTCCAAAAGGTCACAGTCTTGAAAACCCTTTGGAGCTCAGTTCTACTGTGCACACATGGGGTTGTCACGAGTCAGAATTGAACTGACAGCAGCTGGGGTTTTTTTGTTGTTTGTTTTTTTGTTATGGGCAATCTAGGAGCAGATGTATATTTAGTAACTGGAAACATATGAACTATAAGAACTGTGGCAAATAAGACTTCCAAAAATACTTGTTAAATAAATGAACATAGATACCATGTTAAAACAGGCCTTTCATTTCCGATTTTTTCTTTGGAAAATATACTTTGGTTCAAGCCAATGATGCTACTACAGTATTAGATATTAAATGAATCTGAAGCATCATAATATCCTAAAATGTTTTTCCATCAAATGCACTCATTTACTGATTGAAAAAAACTATAACAATGCAAAATCACAACTATTTTTTAAACCTATACAGAAATACTGAAGAGACTTTTCTATTATAAATGATGATATTTTGTACTATTGACACTATCTTGCAATTTTAACTAAGTACATAATTCACAATATGTTCACCGATATATAATAGCCCTCAGTAAAAATAGACAAAGTAAATAAAACTATCTTATCATCCACTCTGTATGCTTAGGAAGGCATACAAATTTAATTGCTGATATAAGCTGTAAAATTTCAGTGCAGTCAATAGAGGTTTGATAGCTAACATACCTAAACTAAGAGTCAGGAAACCACAGGTCTATTCCTACCTTTATTGTCTCTCTAAGATCAAATTACATAGGTACATAATTCATAATGTGTTCACAGATATGAGCATATTAGTCTTCAACAAAGACAAGGTAAAAGTGATTGCTTTATCTTCTCTGCTTATATAATAAAGCCAATTTAGTTTGTGATAAATGGCAGTAACATTTCAGAGGCAAATAATGAACCCACTGGAAGGAATCCAAATGAGGGAATCTATAGCCTTGGCTTTATTCCCAATTCCTACCAACAAGTTACTTAGTGACCTTGAAAGATTCAGTGGCCTAGTCTGTAATTTACTCATAACAATCTTAAAAGAGAGAGAATGTTATATACACCTAATGTGCCTTTATGAGAGATTGTTTTACAACATAGATTTTTAGGACTAGAAGAGAACCTCAAAGAGCGTTGACTGTCTTCTCCAACATTATTGCTAAATGGCCATCTCATCAACAGTGCAGGGGAAATAAATTAATGAATGATTATTCACTCTGAATTTTGATACTAATTATGTTTCAGTGGGAATATACTGGGGTTTCAACTTGAGATGACAAAAATGAGTCCCTTTTTTGACTGATTGAAATTCATTCATGCATTTATTTACTCTGTCATTCAATTACTGAACAAATATTTATTGAGCATTGACTATGTTGCATACTCTGTGCTAGGTACAAGGAACACAAGATTAGTAAGACTATTTCTCCATCAAGATGCTCAGTCTA